GCACAAATCAAGGCAGGTTACCAGTCTCTTAAGAAGATTGAGGATTGTATTCGGGCTGGGCAGCATGGACGAGCTCTCACAGAGGCATGCAATGAATTTTATACGAGGATCCCACATGACTTTGGGTAAGGTTGCTATTGTCATTTCACTTTGTTCTACTTCTTCCTAGCCCCTAGATCAACCAGCAGCAACTATAATCTTTTAAATAATTTTCTTCTCCAAGAAATTATTTCCTTTAATAGATATTAAACTAAAATCATAATTACTTTCCCTGAAAAAACTAGTGTCCCACCAAGAGCTATCCAAAATACCTTAATAAAAGAAAAAAAAAATAGGCAAGCTCTGGTGGCCTAGGGGCAAGAAGCTCTACTGCAATTTCAGAGGTGAATGGTTCTAATCCACCAGATGCTCTGCTGGAGGAGGGACAGTCTCCTCCTGTACCAGTCAGATATGATTTGACGGTACACACACATACAAAAATAATTTAAAAAAAATAAATAAAAATCCCCCCCCAAAAAATCTTCTAATATATCCTCTCCTCCCTCAAATATATCCAAGATACTTTTTTTTTTTTGACAAAAGGGAACATTTTTTATTAGCCAAGAGTACTTAACAACAACAACAAAAATCAAGGAGAATTTGCTTTAGGTGCCAGACCAAGATACTTTTAAGCGTATCCTCCCCACCCCTTTTTCTCTTCCTTAAGGTCAATGTAGCCACATAACACCATTTCCGTAAACTCAAATGATATGTGCTGCCAAGTTGGAAACAACTTATAACTGACTCTCCAGAGGGTTTTCAGAGGCTGTAAATTACACAGGAGACTGCCCAACTTTCTCCCATGGAGCAGCTGGTGGATTCAAACCACTTGCCTTTGGGTTGGTAGTGCAACATCGTGCCACTAAGCCACTCTAATGGCTTATGAGTCCTCTAGGCATAGGAAATACATATTATCTTTGTTGACACTTTATGCTGATTTTTATTACTTTTATTTCTTTTTAAAGCCTTATGACTTTGACAAGTCTGCCTTTGGTTCTAGATAGAAGTGTATCAAAACTATTCCTTATAGATGTCACTGTGCATAAAAAAGAATTTCTATTCCAGTCCTGAATGTCAAAATCTATATGATTTGTATTATTTCACCCAGCATAACATATACATAATGTCCTTTTATATGTTTGGAAATTAGAATCTGTCTAGATCTCGCTTTCAAATGAAAAACCCAGTTTTTCAGACCTAGTTTCTGCGGACCTCTTGTTAGTCATGTGTAATTAGGCCACAGGTCTGAGAGCTCATAGGCTGTCTTTCTTTGTCCTTAGGCTCCGTACCCCTCCACTAATCCGAACAGAGAAGGAATTATCAGAGAAAGTACAACTCCTGGAGGTGAGATATTTGTAGATTGTTGTGGTTAGGTGCTGTGGAGATGAGTGTGACTCATACTCTTGTCCTGGGTTCCTCCCACACTGATTCTGTATCTCACCCATCAGGCATTGGGAGACATTGAAATTGCCATTAAGCTGGTGAAAACAGAGCTGCAAAGCCAAGAACACCCGCTTGACCAACACTACAGAAATCTACGTTGTGCCTTGTGCCCTCTAGACCATACAAGTTATGAGTTCAAAGTAAGTAAAATTCTTTTCATTCTCCATGATCCAATCTTTTCCACCCCACTGTTCTCTTGACTGCTTGTAGCTAAGAGCAAACTATTACATAGGATGATTTTTATTTAATAGATTTTTGGTACTAGAGCTTTTCTAAATACTCTGTGAGACCATCCAGAAACAGAAAGTTCAGCTGAATTTTTGCCAGACACCATAATGCTCATCAGCTCAGTGTGGTCCCTGTTAGAGTCCATGGCACCCATTCCTTGTGTCCTTTTTTCACAGGTGATTGCCCAGTATCTACAGTCTACCCATGCTCCCACACACAGTGACTATACCATGACCTTGCTGGATGTTTTTGAAGTAGAGAAGGAGGGTGAAAAAGAAGCTTTCAGAGAAGACCTTCAAAACAGGATGCTGCTGTGGCATGGCTCCAGGTTGAGTAACTGGGTGGGAATCCTGAGCCATGGGCTTCGAATTGCCCCACCAGAAGCTCCCATCACAGGTTACATGGTGAGTAAAAATTGGACTGTGGAGCCATAACTTTCCTTTTTTCTACATTAGGATTAGTTGATGCCCCTTTCCAACAATTAAACCAGCTCACTGATGACCCTGCCGTTTCTTCCTAAGTCTCTTTTTAATTTCCTAAAGATACTCCTCCTTTCTCCTGAAAACAGAGATTCAAAGATAGTTCTTTCCTCTCGACAACAGAATTTTGGGGGCAAATAAAAAGGGTCTAAAGTATGTTTAAGAGAATGGAAACAGAGGATCAGTGTTAGGAGTCTTCCTTTAAGATACCGGATTGAGCGATTGGTCTTGATGTTTGTGTATTTCAGTTTGGGAAAGGTATCTACTTTGCTGACATGTCTTCCAAGAGTGCCAATTACTGCTTTGCCTCTCGTTTAAAGAACACAGGACTATTGCTCTTATCAGAGGTGAGATGGGAATACATCTATGATCTGTAATGTGCTATTCAACCAAGACTAAACCCACTGCTGTCAAACTGATTCTGATTCACAGTGACCTTAGAGGACAGGTTAGAACCACCCCATGTGGTCCACCAGCTTTTCAGTTAGCAGTTGAAGAGTCAACCATTTCACCTCTAGTGCTCCTTAGTTTACTAACAGTTCATATTTTTCTGTAAACAAAAGTTGGACCCAAGAACCGTGGGGAAAACTTGCTGGGGAATCTAAATCCCGTTTCCATTGCCTTGTATTCCTCTCCTGGAGCTGAAGAAGAAGCTGTTGGTGGACTTTTTTGTTAGCTTTAGAACAATCTAGTTCTGTGCAGAACATAAGAATTTCATGATCTTTTGCTCTGCAGGTAGCTCTAGGTCAGTGTAATGAGCTCCTCGAGGCCAATCCCGAGGC